TGAAGTTTGAAGCAGCCCTCTTGGAGTATGCACACCAACACCAATCTTGGCTTTTCTTAGTAAAGCAGTCCTCCTTGAATGAGCACATGAACTCCAATTATGACTCTTTACACAGTTTATCTCCTGTAGATCTTACCCAAGAACTCATCGTTCTTCAAATTCTTCCTTGATCTCCTACGCAGCCAAGTTGACGAAACAATCTTGCAGCAGGCCCGAGCGAAGAATCTAATTCAGTGTTTGATTTGATGGCTTTGATGTTTCAATGAGTGGAGCACATATGAATTGAATGATTGAANAAGAACTCCTCATTCTTCAAATTCTTCCTTGATCTTGTACGCAGCTAAGTTGACGAAACAATCTTGCAGCAGACCCAATCTAATTCAGTGTTTGATTTGATGGCTTTGATGTTTTCAATGAGTAAAGCGTATATGAATTACAGGATTGAATTTTTGATCTTGTGTAGGATAAATTCTCTCTTGAATAGAATGTGTTCAATCTCCCTTCCCAGAAAACTTAACGCCTCTATTTATATGTTGGACGAATTAGGTTGAATGGGCCAAGAAAAAGTCTCGAAAATCGAAATTAGGCCTGGTCGAAAAACAGAGTCGCTTGAGCGAGGAGCATACTTCACTCGAGTGAAGGGCATGTCACTCCAGCGACATGTGGGCGAAGGTTGAGCGATGTGTCTCTGTTTCATCCGCTCGAGCATCATTCCGGCGAGCAACTAGAGAAAAATCGACGTGAATCCTTCTTGTTCCAAACATGAAACCCCGAACCCTAAGCTAACCTACCAACTATGAAAATTTACAATTCAGTCCCTAAATCAAGTTGGTCCTTTTGTTCACATAATCGCCAATACAATATATAAATCTAACAAAATCCCCCTTTGGTATTCTGTGACAAAACTAAATACAAAACAGAAATCAACCTATCAAAACTACTCAAGTCCAACTGAGTCAACTGAATGTAGCTTCCACTTTGTTCATCCTGTATCCTGAAATCAAAACTCACATACCAGTGTAAAAGTACATGATATAGGACTTAATCAATAAAGTACTGAGAAGCATAATCAATTCAATAAGTAAGCTAGTTTGAGATGCAATATTAATGCTAACCAAAACACCATGACCACATTAATATCACAAAACATCAAAACTCAAACAACCATGTATGAAATGCAATGCACATTCTCTTCCTCAGTGAATGATATCTAATGTAAATGTAATGCACAAGATTACCTTACTACAAATACTCAAAGTGTTAAAACAGTAGGTACATGTATCTATACCTCTCCCCAACGACCCCTCAAGATATGAAAATGCAATATCGATCAACAAAAAACACAATGTCTTCAGATGTATATCTATGTTTCGTCCCATCGACCCCTAAAGACATAAGTAACTGGCTTAGAAAATGTAAAATGATATAGCTCCCCCTTACAATAAAAATCTCTTCTTCTTTTTGTCACAAATGCCGAAGGGACGGAGCAATAGCACACAACAACCCAACAATGTAGGTATAAGCAATCACAAGTAGATGCAGTGAATAGTAAACTATCCCACAACGCCAACAAAAGAGACACATCGAGTAAATGATATAAGTGACTCATACATGTAAAGTGTCACTAATCCTCTGGTAGTAGGACTCCATACCTTAATTTTGTGAGAAATGACATGCTAAACATCACTGCGAATAAGTATATTCTTCTACTTATAAAAGTCAAACCTTAAAGCACATTAGAACCTACATATGAAAGCTCATATTATGGAGAATGACTATTCTCCCCCTGACTTGTAGCAGAAAACAATGAAGTGATCACAACAATAGACATGAATGCTCATACAAATGGTATTCATCTTAAGT